CCAAATTTAATCCGGTTTGGTAGCAGGCCTTGGATATTTCACTATTCTCCATTGCCCGACCACACCTCTGACCCGATATAAAAAATAACCATCTTTAGATTCCCGCGTTTTTGCCTCAAGAACCAATTTTTTAAGCTGCAGACGCTGGTCCGTTGTAAGGTCATCACTAATCCTCACTTCCCTCATTTTTTAATCTAGCAGCGCTAATCTGAACAATCTTCTCATAACCAGGATTTTTGCAGAAAGGTTGATAAACTTAACAATCACTGGACGCGGGGGAGACGATACGCTTGGCTTTTTACCTTGTCTAAATATTTTCAATATGTCATCATCTTTCAGAGACTTGTCTGTTAGGGACCTTAAAAAGCCAAGAACATTGCCCCTATCTTTAGCAACATCCAAGTCTTTGCTGAAATTAAAGAGAACTATGTTGTTCTCACGGGCCTTAACTTCATTTGCCACTTCAATTGTTCTGCGAACAGAGATGACCTCTTTACTAACTACGTCGAGGTCCTTTTTTACCACATCGGAAAATGAAGTACTGATCATATTTCTCAAAGAAGCAGCCTCGTTATCGACAATTTTAGAATTACTCTTTACCACGTCTGACCAAGACTTGGTGATATCGTTTTTCAAGGAGTTAATAGACTGGTTAAGTTTCTCGTCTAGTTTATCTAACTGTTTTAGGCTCTCACCGCTTGATTCAAGCCTCAACTGCAGATTTGTCATTCCAATCTCAATGGAATCAAACGTTTTAAAACGAGAATCAATGGATTCAAATTTTTCGTTAAGCATCTGCAAAAGACCTTTGAACCCATGTTTCACGCAATTATCACAATAAAACTTCATGTTTTTACTTTTGCTAGCATATTTCACCAATTCAACATATAAAGCCGAAGGCTCGATTTGAACCACCGCATCACACACACAACATAATATGTTATCATCCTTTACGGAAGCAGATTCCAGAATTGATTGACTTCTCTGACATCTTGTTTTAGACATGTCTTAATCGAGCACACAAACGAAGTCTATGGAGAAAATGCAGTGGTAGATACAGGTCTTTAGCACGATGCAGCAGCTGCACTGTCGAAGCCGTTCCAGCGACAGCCAAGGTAGTTTTATATTCTGCAACAACAATGACCAAAATTTTTTTTCAAATCATTGTTGATATTCCAGACAAAATAACAGAACAACCGAAACAATGCAATACGTCCAAAAAACAAGGAGTGATAGCTTACAATTTGACAGAAACGTATTTACTTAAGATTTAAACTAAAAAATTAAATTCGTTACTTAAGTTCTAAATTATTCAAAGAAACAAAAATATATTAATAATCCATATAATTAACCTATCAATTAAACCTAATTTAAACAATATACACTCTGAGAAAACGCCGAAAATTAAGAAAAATTACGAAAAATCAACATGCCAACATGAATCAACTTCCTCTATATATATATATATATATGTAAAGAAACTATATTTCTTTAATTTTGATTTTGTCGCGCTTTGCGCGATTGATAATACACTGCGAATTTTTTGTCTGGGGTTTTTTGTTGATAGGTTAAAAGAAAACCTAAAAGTAAAGTTTAATTAAATATATTTTGTGACTGATTATAATTTGTGAAATAATAAACTTTAAATGTCGTTTCTTTGTTTTTAGGTGAGTTTTTTTCTCCAATAATGATTTTTTTTAACATTTAACAAAATAAAATCTTTGTTTTCAGAAGCAACACATTTGTTTGTTTAAATCCTAAATTATAATCAAAACCCTTATAAAACGACATTTCCGTTTATTGAGAAACCTAAATGAATTATAAAATGGACCAGCTACGATTTGAATTTGCAGTGTTGCCAGCGAGTGATGGAAAGTCAAATGTATATTGTGTAACCTCCATAACGACAAGAGATGAAAAAGGGTTTGCTATTCCAGAAGAATTACAGTCTGCTAGTCTTCATAAAGAGTTGATAAAGACAGCTGCGTACAATAAAATAAAAAATAGTTAAAAAAAAGACATCAGACGAGAAAAATTTGGATTACAATGACAAATGAACTAAGTAACGTGTACATAGATGAAGATGGTAATCTACAATTTGGAGATCAATATCTCGAAGAAATTGAACAAAAGCAAGCATCTGGTAATTTAGGAAAAAATACAGATTCATTGGAAAAATTATTTACAAAATTTATTGAAAGCTCACAAGATTTAAAAAAACAGAACCTGAAATATATTGCAGAAAAGTTTATAATTGAAAGATTTACAAGTAAAAATACTAACCCAAGCCAGTGGATTGATGTTTTTGAAAAAGAATGTTTACGTTTCGATATTACGGAAGATGAGAAAAAAATTGAGATACTCAGACTATTCATGGACAAAAGTTGCGCTGATTGGTATAGTTCTATGATTATCAAATTAACACTAAACTCAGAGTGGTCTATATGGAAAAATAAATTCTGTGAATCATTTGCAAATCAAGGCTGGAACCAAGTGACTTATGCGTTGTTATTTAAGTACAAGGATGGTTCATTGGTGGATTATGCTATAAAAAAAGAAAAACTTTTACTGGACATGAGAACATCAATAGATACAGGTACTCTAGTGGATCTAATTGCAGCTGGATTGCCAGGCTTTGTTCTAGAAAAGATAAATAGACAATCAATGGAAGATACAGTAGACTTATTCAATGAAGTAAGAAAGTATGAACATTTGATGAATAAAAATAAGAATGGAACCTACACGAGATACGAAAACCAGAAGATATATAACAAAATTGAGGAACGTACTGCATGCAAAATATGTGAACGGTTAAATAAAGGTATACGCTACCATCCAGAGGCTGCATGTTGGTTTAAAATGAGAGATAATAATAAATTTGATAGAAGATATATAAAACATGTCAACAATTCAGTGATTGAAGCAGAGTTAAATGAAACAAAACAAAAAATATAAAAGATGTTTGTAAGAGCTGTGAAATTTGCATAAAGAACAAAACAAGAGGACAAGACAAATACGGATTAATGTCATATCTAGGGCCGGCCACAAGACCTCTTGAAATAATATCAATAGACACAATTGGCGGTTTCGGTAGTTCAAGATCAACCAAGAAATACCTACAACTTCTAGTAGATCACTTCACTAGGTACGCATTTATTATAACATCAAAGACCCAGAATGCACATGATTTTATAAAACTAATAAATAAGGTCACAGAAATACAAAACATTAAAACACTCCTCAGCGATCAATACTCTGGAATAAATTCCAAAGAATTCAAGCACTTTCTTAGTGAAAACCAAATAACGATGATATTTACAGCTGTGAATGCGCCTTTTTCAAATGGCATAAATGAAAGGTTAAATCAAACACTAGTGAACAAGATAAGATGCAAAATAAATGAAAGTGAAAAAAAAAAGCTTGGACTACAATAGCACATCAATGTGTAGAAAAATATAATCAAACTATTCATTCAGTAACTGGTTACGCACCATGCTATTTGTTTTATGGGACAGATGCTACAATCTTACCAAATGAGCTAAGTGAAGACTGTATACACAGTGACTGGATCAGAGATAAAGAAAGAGCTCTTAATAATACTCTGAAATCACACTACTATAACAAAATGTACTATGATGCAAAAAGAAAAAATAGAGAATTTAAAGTTGGAGATATGGTTTATGTCGAAAATGGGAATAAATTAAATCGAAAAAAACTAGAAGAACTACGAATAGGACCATATAAAATAGAAAAAAAAAAAAATCAGATACCATTTATGAGATAGATACAGGACACAGGAAAACAGAGTCAAACTTATTTCATATTTCAAAATTAATTCCAGTACAGATAACAAAAGATGAAGTTGAGGAGGATACAAATGAAGAAAAATAGATAAAAGCGTGATTCTGGCAGAAAATCCCTCATGTGAATTTTCTTTCTTGGGAGGGTAGATGTAAAGAAACTATATTTCTTTAATTTTGATTTTGTCGCGCTTTGCGCTATTGATAATACACTGCGAATTTTTTGTCTGGGGTTTTTTGTTGATAGGTTAAAAGAAAACCTAAAAGTAAAGTTTAATTAAATATATTTTGTGACTGATTATAATTTGTGAAATAATAAACTTTAAATGTCGTTTCTTTGTTTTCAGGTGAGTTTTTTTCTCCAATAATGATTTTTTTTAACATTTAACAAAATAAAATCTTTGTTTTCAGAAGCAACACATTTGTTTGTTTAAATCCTAAATTATAATAAAAACCCTTATATATATATATATATATATATATATATATATTGTTGTTTAGGAAAGTCACAGCATTTTCAGCGTTGCTTGATTTTCTATTTAATTTTTCAATCTAATATATATATATATATATATATGTACAACGTGAAATTTTCCATTGTTTGCACGTGATTATCTTCTTTGTTAACGCACACGTGTGTAGATAACTGACATTTTAATCAAAAATAATTTTTTAAATTTGGTCATGTATGTCTTATCCATTTTTTCCCATTCCCGTCCATCATTCTCGATTTTCGAACAGTGTTTTCCTTTTCTCTAAAATTCCCATTCCCAAAAATTAGTTTTTACCAATTCTCGTGGGAACCATGAAATTCTCGCATTTTTCGTTCCCATGCTCACCTACTGTTCGTGCCCGTGCCCTGCTTCGATGTTTCGTTCAACGTCCTAGTAAAGTTTGACATGAAGTCATTAAGGTAGTTAAAAAAAACCCGAAGACACTCTATACTTTTCTCTTTTTTATTACTCTTTATCTACCCCAATCATTTCTTTGCTGTTACTACGCTGTGTTCAATCTTAACGATAACGTGTTTTATCACTTAGATCGAGAAAGAGCAATTGCCCCTGCTTTAATCAGATAGAAAACAAGAGTTATATTTATTGTTGCATGTCTTATCAATGCATGACATTTTTATCGTTTTATTTCGACGTCGAATTTTGCTCAACATAAAATGCTACAAAATTTTGACGCCATTTCTTTCAGTGACGATTTCTATGAGAAGTGCGTCATGAACAACTACCTCGGCGTCGGCCTTGATGCCAAGATTGCCTTGGACTTCCATAACAAGAGGGAGGAACAACCACATAAATGCAGGAGCAGAACAAGGAATATGATGTGGTAGGTAACGTGGTGATGGTGGTGGCGGTGGTGGTAGTGGTGATGGTGATGATGATCATCATGGGATGATGATTATGTTTGAAATTCGCTGATAGGGCGGTATTTATTGTGATGATGTTGATGATAATAGTTTTTTGTTTAAAAAGTAATTTGATTTTAAATAAAAATAATTCTACTGTTGCTCAATTTGAAATTTGACTTGCCCGATTCTGATTTCTTCATTCTTAGTGATAACTAGGTAGGATAGATGGATAAGCTATCTTGAGCTCAGTGATATTGTTTTTCGTTCTATCTCTAACCATTGACCCAAACAACAACAGACAACAACAAATAACAGACAATAACAACGGACAGCATCAAATAACAGACAGTAACAACAAATAAATATCAGACTAGATGAAAACAATAAACAATAAATAACGGACAATAGCAACAAAAGACATTAACAAACAACGACGGCGACAACCATTGTAGGTATGGTGTACTTGGTGGCAAGGAAATCCTACAGAGGACTCACAAGAACCTGGATCAACGGGTGAGGTTGGAATGTGATGGCAAGCTCATTCCACTACCCAACTTGCAAGGAATCGTTGTCCTTAACATACCTAGGTTGGTAGGTCGGTTGGTTTGTTGTTTGATGGTCGATTAGTCGGTCAATTGCTTGGTTGGTTAAACACTTTTCATTTTTAGTTGGTTTTCAACGAATTCTGATTACAGAATTCGTTGAAAACCTAACTAAGGAAGGGCGTCCTGCGTAAAAACTAGCCAAAAATAATACTTATGATGACGGAAATAACAATGGCCCTCAGTATCCGGCAGAAGAGGGTGCGAAGAATCTCCGGAGACCCAGTCCATGGGGTTGTGGTGCAAGACCTTGTGGATGGTCTGGCTACTGGCACCCCACTCTATAGTGTGGCGGTGCAAGGCACTATAGATGGAAGGACTACTTGTAGACCAAGGGGTTGGAGGTTTGGTATCTGGAATGTAGGCACGTTGACAGGAAGAAGTTTGGAAGTGGTGGAGGAGCTGCAGAGGAGAATGGTTGACGTGGCTGCATTACAGGAGATCAGATGGAAGGGTGATGGTACAAGGTTTGTGGGGGCTAAAGGTGGAAGATATAAGTTGTGGTGGAAGGGGGATGATGGTACTGGAGGAGTTGGTGTGATGGTTAGAGAAGAGTTGGTGGAGAAGGTGTTGGAAGTGAGGCGGAGAAGCAATGGTGTAATTGTGGTGGTGATGGTGTTTGGAAAAGTAATAGTGAGGGCGATATCAGGATATGCTCCGCAACAAAGTAGAAAGGAAGAGGAGAAGGATAGGTTTTATGATGATGTTTCTGACGAGATTGGGCAAGCGGGGTTGAATGACTTTGTGGTGTTGTTGGGTGATTTGAATGGTCATGTGGGGGCGGATGCAGACGGATATGAAGGTGTACAGGGGGGATGGGGATATGGTATACGGAATGAGGAAGGGCGTAGAGTGTTGGAGTTGGCGGATGCACATAGCATGGTGGTGGGAATACTTGGTTCACAAGGGAACCAGCGCGATTGATTACTTATAGGTCAGGGGAACATAGATCGATGATTGACTATATATTGGTAAGGGCCAAACATAGGAAGTATGTGAAGAATGTGAAGGCGATACCTGGTATGTTGCAGCATAGTATGGTTGTGATGGATGTGACATCAAAAGAAATGAGGAGGAGGAAGAAGGATAAGTTTGTGGCAAAGAGAAAGACATGGAAGTTGCAGGATGCAGAGGTGAGGAAGGCATTTGAAGTGAAGGTGGCTGAAAATTGGGAGAGTGGTAAGGATGGAGATGTTTGGGAGAGATACAGGGACTGTGTGTTGGCTACGGCAGATAAAGTATGTGGATGGACGAAAGGAAAGTGTAGGCATGGTGAGACGTGGTGGTGGGATGAAGATATAAGAAGGGTTTTGGAAGTCAAGAAGGAGAGGTTTAGGGTATGGAGAAGGGACATGACGGAGGAAGCGGAGTCTGAGTATAGGAAGACTAAGAAGGTTGCAAAACAGGCAGTGGCAACTGCAATGACGAAAGCATCAGATAGGTTAATGAAGAAAATGGAATTTGATGTGAGTTCGAGGAAAATGTTCAAAGTAGCAAAGCAGTCAATGAGGGATAGGAAAGATGTTATAGGGAATGGATGTGTTTGGGATGGATCTGGCAAGTTGTGCATAGATGAGGAGGAAAAAGCTCAGGTGTGGAAAGCTCATATGGAAAGGTTGATGAATGAAGAGAATGAGTGGGATGGGGATGTGGAATCCGCNGGTCACACACGGACCTATAGAGAAGGTGACGA